CAGTAACAGTTGCAGTGGTAGTAGTAGTAGTAGTAGTAGCAGTAGTAGTAGTAGTAGTAGTAGTAGTGCTACTACTACTGCTGCTACTACTACTACTACTACTGCTACTACTACTACTACTACTACTGCTGCTACTACTACTACTACTACTAGCACGCCAAAATATGTAGTAAGTAGTACGTAGTAAGTAGTAAGTAGTAAGTAGTAAGTAGTAAGTGGTAAGTAGTAAGTGTTAAGTAGCAAGTAGTAAGTAGTAAGTAGTAGGTAGTAGGTAGTAGGTAGTAGGAGTAGGAGGAGTAGTAGTAGTAGTAGTAGTAGTAGTAGTAGTACGTAGCAGCAGCGGTAGTAGTATCGGTGGTGGTAGAAGCAGCAGTGGCAGTAGTAGCTGTAGTAGTACTCGTAGCCGCAGTGGCAGCAGTGGCAGCAGTGGCAGCAGTGGCAGCAGTGGCAGCAGTGGCAGCAGCAGCAGCAGCAGCAGCAGCAGCCGCAGCAGCAGCAGCAGCAGCAGCAGCAACAACAGGATGAGGAGTCCAGGAAAAGTTACTAGTACTGGCGGTTCATGCCTTGTGTTTGACAAGTTGATTCCTTGGCATATTGCTGCCGCTCCTGCCGCTGCCGCTGCTGCGGCTGCAGCAGCTTCTGCCTGCATCTGCGGCTGTGTTATACCTCTTCTTCCAAATGAGCAGGGCGTTGGGTTTAGCATGAGGAAGAAGCCTTGCTGGAGCGCATGGTGATCAAGCTTGCCATTGATGGAGTCAAGAACTCCGGTGGCTTTGCGTGAATGTCGGCTCTCTGCGTGATTGCATGTCCGTCAGGTTACGTCGTCAGCTCAAAAATCTATCCATAATGAGGTTCTGCAGCGCGACTGGTTCAGGGTTCCCGCAGCCGAGGTAAGCGTTTCAAGCGTTTCAAGAAATGGCTAGAAGAACAGCCGCCTTTCGACATTGTCATTGATGGAGCCAATGTGCCTGCGCCAAGTTCAGTGCTGATAGATAGCAGAGAGGTCCAAGTTAGCCTGCTTAACACTGGATGGTAGCTTTACAAGATGGGAGATGCAAGGTTGGCTTCAACAACCAGAACAGAGAAGGAGGCTTGTTGCTAGGCCTGACTTAGGTACATTTCCGACTTTCACGGCGGGCCGCCCATGCCTGCTCCGTCCTGACCTAAGGTTTCAGTACAGCCAGATCGACGCTGTTATCAAGAAGCTGCGCGAAACTGGCAGCAGGGTGCTCCTGGTGCTACATCCCAAGTGGTTGCGTGCAGACGCGGATCGGACGGTAACCAAACGAAAAAAGAGAAAGCTCGAGTCCTGGCCAAATGAACTAGCGGTAACTAGCGTTCCATCCCGGAACTTCAGCCGCAAAAGCGAGGCATTCTCCCAACCTGAGGATCAGATCAACCTGGAGTCAGGACTCGGTTCTTCTGACGAGTCGGCGGAGGAGCACGAGGACGAAAGCGGCATGCTGCAGCTTGATGCTGTTCACAAGTCAGATAGTGGCGAAAGGGTCTGGGAAGGACGGAGAGCCAGAGATCCAATACCCCTTCGAAGCTCGACTGCAACCACCGGAGCTCTGCTGCGTGCGCTTGTCTGGACTCACTCCTTAATTGGTCAAGGACCCCATAACTGATGCAGAGAGGGCTGCACCCTCTGGCACACCGCTTGCCTTCATTCGCCAGTGGAAGGCTTGATTCCGCATGCTGCACCCTGAAGTCGCCATAAGTCGGCAGCGTCAGCATGGATGCGTGTGGATGCGGATGCTGTAGGAGTCAGATTGCCTTGTCCGTGTACCCGCCAAAGACTGTGCGAGCCTCGGTGTCCAAACATGTCCAAACCTGTGGTAACCCAGCAGAGTACGCAAGGGTTGCGACACATCTCGGCAGCGAGGTGACGATTGGTACTGGCTATTTGCTGCGCTGTCTTCCGCGCGCCGAGGTGCTAGGCATGTACAGGTGGCATCTTGGCAGACTTTAGTCGAGAGCTTCCGAAGCCCAGCCCCTGCCTTGGCAGACCTGTCACAGGCACGTCATGCCGTGTGAAGACCGTGAAGAGTGAAACCACAGCAATCCCACGGGGTTGTCCAGTGAACAAGTCCCCAAGCCAGCAGAGGTTAGCAATGACCACATGCGAGACCATCACTGGCGGATGGTCGGCAACTGCCTCGCATTTAACACTGCCGTGTGCGGTCTGTCTAGCTGCCTGTCGCAATGGGCAAACATGTCAGGCAACCGCGCGTTCCTGAAGTGGCAGGGAAGACACATGACCAGAGTGAGCATTTGGTCCGAGACTTCAGATGCGGAGAAGCTTGGAAGCAGTCGCATGGGTAGCCTCGGCTCTTGAAAGCTCTCGCAAATTACAATGCGGAACAGCTATGCCTCCGAATAAGGAACTGCAAAGTTACACTGACGCCTCCGGACCTCTACTCCGTGCAAGCACAGGTGTGCCGGGCCCCGTGCTGCTAGTGTTGCTTGTGTTTTGCAGCTAGCATGAATGCTTGCCGTGAGGTTAGTAGGAGATGATTGTGGAAGGGAAGAACATCTGTGTGAAGAGGTGCAGTGTAAATTAATGAATCAATTAATTAATCAAGTAGTCAATAAAAGCAATTTCCAGAAGTGCTCGGGCTCGACGTGTCGGTTAACAAAGCCTGCGACCAACCGCAGGTCCGAAGCAAATCCATGACCTAGAGGGACCTAGAGTTTGAGTTGACTCCACGTGGCCGGCACGAGCACCATTCGATTCCTTGTGGGTCTCAATCTGACATGATGGGATGACTCGTGATCCACCATCTCTCGGAAACCGATGCCGGCAGAAAGCCGGGCCAATCTCTCTCGCTTGGGTCCGTTATGGGATCGGCTGCACCCCAGTTGTGCTCGAGCTTGGTGCACTCATGTCCGGTTTTGGAAACGACGCTTCGCGGACCGTTTCACTGCCTTCGCAGGTCTCCTGCGACGGCAGCCATTGGCATTTTCCAGTGCCTACTCTGCCGAGCCGGGCGCAGCAGCTTTCCTCTGGGCGTCCTCTCCCACGGAAGGAGTTTCAAGCATGAAGCCAACAAGTGGCTGTTTCAAGAGTCACCCTTGGCATCATGCTTTAGGAGATCGAGTCTGCCGAATGCCACTGGCTTGTCGCATGGCACCAATAGTCAGGCTGGAATGGGCCGAGGCTCGTTGCAGTCGTTGCAGAAGCTGTGTGCTGCATTTGTCGCAGGAATTTCGTGCCAGAGTCTGACTGCTACGTGACTTGCTGGGAAGGTCAGGTAATAGAACCCGCTTCAACAGACGTCTCAGTGCGCCAGTACGGCCTGTAGGGCTTGCATTTGTACAGACTGGCCTGCCGTCAAGGGGACCGTGGCCGATGTCCGGGTTTCAGACGCCCTGCCTTTTTGTGTGTTATCTTGGCAATTCCCGACAGGCAGCATTCTGACCGGGGAGTCTGCAGATTCAAGTCGGCGAAGGGGTCTGAAGCGCAGGGGCAAAGAGGCTCCAGTTTCTTAGTAGGGTGTTGGTCGGTGGCATGCAGGCTAGGCCGCTCAGGCAACCTGAATGACATTATGTTCGTGATGCTCGCGGGAAGAATACATTGAATACGTCAGGTCGGCTCTCTTGAGAGTGTAAATGTGCCACCCCTGCTGTGGGCAGCAAACCTGCCAGAGGCAAGTGTAGCCCGAAAGAGCAACATGCTTCTCTAGCTGCTGTGCCGGCAGGCGGGTTAAATGTCGTTTCGTTGCCTCAACCTGCTGTCTCCTACCTGCATGCATGAGATGAAATGGACGTGTCCATGTTGCAGTGAGCAGCCTGAGCATGCCTGCTGCCTTTGTCATCGAGGGCCCAACGGCGCTTCGCGTCTTGCACCGCGTGCGAGTCCTGGAATTGGGTTGGAGCGTCCTCCTTTTAGGCTCTAGGCGGCCATGGTGTGCTGGTCGCTGTAATATGTGGTCTGGGCGGCTTTCCTGTGGCCTCGTTGCCTTGGTCGTGCAAGTGTTCCTAGAAGTGCACATGGCACTTTCGCACGCCGGGCGTAATGGGATGTAGCAACCTGCTGCACTCCTGCCCTTGAGGCTTCTCTTCCTCCTGTTGCCTGGCAGCATCAAGTACCGATGTTGGTTCGTCGTGCATGTACTGCTCATGGTGCAATCATTCTTGAGATCGATTTTGCCACTAGGAGCCCTTCTCCAGGAATCTGGCATGCCCTGAGCCTGAGATCTTTCAAGACACCGGAACTCGAGCAACACCGTGTTACGCCTGATCACGACTTGTAGCTTCATCCTGCTCCTGCAGGTTTGGTTTTTTAAGTGGTGGAGGGTGCACGTTTTGGCCTTGAGATGGGTTTGGCCGTGGTTGCTTGTTCCGGTGGACTTCGGATTTTAGCATCTGGTGGCGCGCGGCTCTCAGCCTTCCCACAGCGCTTCGAAGAAGAATCCCTTCTGGGTCAGTCGTACAGACCTTGGACCTTGGAGCATCGGAGGAGTGCCGGCTGTGGACCCGGGTTGTGAAGGGGAGCCGGTGAGACTCAGGAGCTTCACAGCGAGTCATCTCTGTTCCACTCTTAGGCTCTGGGTGGTGTCGTGGGTCATAGAGTCATAGGTGGAGTCAAGGTATGTTCATCGTCGACCAGTGGCCGCTCCAGCGGTGCTGGTGGAAGGGCCTTTCACGCTTCGAAGAGGACAGGAAAAGCCATTGATCAGTTGCTCTGGCTTCTGGAAAAGGGGCTGCGAGCTGTGTGTTGTTTCTTGTGCTCACGTTTGCTTTTACTATTACACACCCGCCCAAGGCTTCGGTAGTGGACGGTACGACCGTTACGCGTCACTTCGCGCTTACCTCGTCCGTTTTGGATGCGAGTTGCATGCTTGTACTTTCCGGTACTCGGTGCTTGTGCAGCCGAGGTACAGGCCATTCGGCTCTGCATGTCGAACAGCGGCCCATTAAGCTGGAGATCGTCAAACCTTCATCAACTCAACCAACTCCATCGCAGAAGGTACCTTGCTTCCTGGCTGCAGTTCTGTCAAGCTCATGTTCCAGCATTCAGCTTTTTGCTAAGGCTGGTATGAAGAGGACATCTCGACCCTCCCCTTGTAAGGCACATGCACATAAGAAGCACGCCGCAAGTGCATGGCAAACTATGTGCGAGGAGAAGACGCGGCGGACTGGACTAAGCTGGTCGTGGGGCAATTCGGCCGTTTTTGTAAAGGTTGTGGGTCTGAGTCGCGAAGTCTGGTTTCAGATCAGATGTTCGTTGCTGTCCATCTTCTGCGAGGCTGCACTCGTATTGCTTGGTGCAACATCACACCATCGGCATCTGTTAGGCCCACCACTGAAGCTGCGAATGCGCATGGCAGGACGGTCGTGAGAATGCGCTTTGGTTCGTTTGTTGCTCCCTGCACTGATCGATTGCTTTGCCCTAGGATTCGGAACAATTGGAATAGAATTGGTGAATACTGGGTGGGCATGTGGATGGTCCAAAAGGATGCATCCATCTAGCACTCGATGGGTTTCTTGGTTGTATCGAGCTGCATCTTGCTGCTTTTCAGGGCCGCTGCACTTGGTTGCCTTACGTCCCGGGACAGTTCAGCGAGGCACCGTTTGCCTTCTATACCCATGAACCAGACTTGCCACTTGCTCCTGGCATTTCGCCGCTGGCATGCAACAACACGTACCGCAACGCAGTAGTACTTGCAGTTGTGAAGTCGCCGGGGCGCCATTTTCTTGAATTTTGCGGACAACTGCAGCTCATAAGAGTGTAGGTAGGTGTGCGAGTGTTACTGAGCCCAGGTGATGCAGAGGACAGGAAAGTGCCGGGATGGGAATTACGTGACCTGTCGGACATATCTCCGACTTGCGAAGTCTGCATGGAGCCGGCTGCCGCAGGACTTGGAGGTTGAAGCGCCAAGTCCCGATGTCTTCAACTTCGGCGGAGACCTGAAGGCGAGGAGATGCCAGGAGTCAGAGGCTAAAGCTCAAGAACGATTTGAACTTCGCCTCTCTCTTGAAAGGTGTTTGCTCACCACTGCCCGCGGCGTTTATCGGGGCCAAGCGCTGAAGCCTTGGGTGTCGGGGAAGCGGCAACTTGCAGGGTCCGACAGCGGCTTGGACTTATCGCAGGTTTGTTCGGTGCTGCTTCAGCTTGTCGAACCACGAAAGCAACATGGTTTCGTAGCTCGTGCATGGCGCTCACCGTAGCCCGCGTGCGGGAACGGTCCTAGGCAGGTCTGGATTGGATGGTGCGGATGCTATGGTTCCTCCTCAAAGCTCGCTCCGAGCTTTGAGGGCCACGACTGGCGAGCAGGGAGGATCGAGAAGGCCCTGATGCAATCATGAGATTGCTGTTTTTGCATGGGTTGCAGTGGCTGGAGGTGATCAATGCTTCACATGCTGTGGTGAGTTTATGGACGGATGAGAGGTTAGCAACTCATCAAGCCATGCTTGCTGTACTGCTGTTTGCCGAAGGGTTTGCAAGATGAAAGTGTAAAACGGTCTCACAGAAGCCGAGGTTTGTGCTTCCAGCCTGGCAGCTTTTGCCAGCCAGCGGCAGTGAGTTTGACGACTTGGACAGCTCGGTTCAGCGTTGTGCAAGTTTCGAACTTGGGACGGAGAAGAGACACGGCCGCGAACCAACAGCATCGCAGACGCTCTGGCCCGCCTTGTCTCTTCAGTGTTGGCTTCCAGCTTCCATGCATGTCTGGATCTTGGCAATTGCGAGCTGGGCGAATTTGGGCATGCATCATCTTCAGCATTACCAGCACCAGTAGTATCATCAGCGTTTCGCGATTCGTTAGATGTCCATCGTCGTCGTCACCGCCAGCGTGGCCCGTATCATTATTGCCAGCACCGCTCCGTTCAGCATCATCAGGGTAATGTTAGGCGAACTTCAGACGCCTTCTTCAAACTAATGTAGCGATGTACTCGGATGGAAGTACATGAGGATTCGTTGTTCCGGGCTTTGTTGCCTTGGTCTGAAGCCATTTGTGGTTCCAAATCACAGCACACGGTTGGGCCAAAGCAGCGAAGCTGCTTGGCTGTGAGTAACTGCTTGGCTGTGTGGCCACTAGCTAGGCGAATCAGGCTTTCTTTAGCTTCGAGTGCTCTTTCTCAAGAGCTGTTAGTTTGAAGCGTTGTCTATGAGGTGCAGCCTCGACGACAACATGGGTGCCGAAGATGCAAACAATCGGGGAGATTGACGATGGCTCTTCGAGCAATTTTCGTCTTGGCGCACCGAGGTTTCAACCGTGGAAACACTGTGTTGGCACTTGGACCAGAGAAGTGCCCCCCCAGCACGTGCCTGTGACAATCCTTCGTGTTGTGCTATAGCCGTTGCCGGTAGCTTCACAAGCCGGTGTGTGAGCAGAGACCTGGGTCGAGGTTTTCAATCTTCGATTCTGGACTGTTGAACATTTTTGGATCAGTTCGCCTGGTCCACTTCAAGCTGAGATTCGGGCGTTTCCAGCCCCGACAGTCTTCCATGTCAGCATGATTTCCGGCTACTGTAAATCAAATCCCCTCGCCTGCTTTGTCGAGAGTGCGTGCTAAAAAAATCAAATCCAGTGTGTGGCCAACGAAGAAGAAGA